ACTTCAATCCATATATTGCAAAGCAAAAACTTTAAACTAAAGTAAGGGATTTAAAAAACAATTATAATTCACAAAATATTATTGTAACAAATGATACATCGTATTTGTTACTTATCAACTATCCTTCAAGATTGCTGTTAGTTTGGACATGACCATTAATATAAACTTTCCTTCACATTTTCTTTTTAGTTAACCTTTGATATATATGTTAACTCAGATTTACGACATTTGTCCTTGTCTACAATTGTATATAAAGGTTAATTTTGCTCCATTTATCCTCCTTACATCCCCAAGGAGGAGTTTTTAGTGGTTATTTTATTTTTATATATCCCCTAAAGTTTCAAGGCTTTAGAATGATAGTATATTTAAATCTCATCCTATAATCACATGTACTACAACTATTACATATATTTATCCTCACATAATAAAGATAAGAAAGTAAGAAAAATTGAGGAAGAAATATCACAGAAGAAGAAGAAGTAGAGAAAGAAGCATCTAAAGAAGAATAATCAATAGTTGTAAGGTAGGAATATAGAAATAAAAAGAAAAAAATGTGTTCACAACTTAGAGTATAGGTATATGTATATATAAAAATTACAACATACTATAGCAGATATTGAGTTATAATAAAAGTTTAAATAATTACTACTTATAATGTAAAAGTGAAATTTTTATTAAAGTATTATTATATTTAGTATTAAAGGAAAATCTTATCATTCATTAAGATGTCATTGTCATTGAATTATTTAATATTGATACTTGTGATATAAAATATGAATTATAGAATTAAAAGTACATTTTATAATTTAATTAAAGTATTATACTTTATGGGAATATTATTTTAATTGAAGTATTATATTCATGGGAATTATGTTTTATAGAATATTGTAATTTAGAAAATAAAATTTATCAAGAATAATATATTAGATGTTTTAATTAATAAAAATATAGTTCTTAAAATAAGTGTTATGTTTTTTATATTTATTCACAAAACACTTCATTAAATTTGCATTTACCACATATAAATATTAATCTTATATACATATAATTTTTATTAATAATTTTATTTATATGATATATCTATAAAGGGTAAACCATGTATAGTTATATGTAGAATTTATCAAGAAACTTAAAAATTATTAACAAAATTAAATATTAGTTGTTATTTTTTCTGAAAATTTTAAGATTTAAATTTTTTAAATAATATTATACATCTTTAAAGACCTGAATATATTACACATATATTTATGTTAATAATAAAGATATAATGTTAATTATATTAAGTGTTTTAAATGATATCATTTAGTTTCATGGTTAGTTACTGACTTATAATTTTCTAAACTATATATGATAAAGAAATTAATGTAACTTTATTAGATTTATTATTTTGTCACAAAATTTGTAGTTTTAGAACTAGTTTTGCATAAGTTTGTTTTATGCATAATATGTGAGTAAACTGTTTGCATCTTTTAAAAATTAATAATGTGCATGAAATTATATGATTATCATTCAATAAAATGATGGTATATTACATTTATATACAGTATATTTTAATAGTTTATTATTAATTACATGTTTGAAATCCTTTTCATATGATGTTTTATGTAGAATTTTTTATAATTTGATAATACCAATATATTAATAAACCATAAGATTATTATTATGGAAGAAACTAAAATGTGGAAAATCGTTTTCTAAATATTAAAAAAATTAATAATTTATTTTCCACTGGATTTAAAACATATAACATTGTGGAAAGATGGAAAGAATAGAAGGAAGTGACATACTTCTTGGTATAAGTTCAGTGGGCTCTGCATATTGTATGTGGCCTTTCAGACAAATTTGATAAACAAGAAAATGCTAACTTCTAAAAGTCTTTCATGGTGACTTCAGCACAGGTACTTTGAAATCCCGCACCTGACTAACATTCACTCGTATCGAAGGTCCCATGGTGGAACAGATGTAAATGGATTTCCAGTAGACACCTTTAGCTCCTTTGGGCTTGTTTGTCTCCACAGAGTTCTGGAGAAACACAAGGAAACATAAAGTTCCAGAGCCAGGATCTTTATACTTACAATCACAGCTAGAAGATTCAAGAGGAGATCCTCGTCCTCAAAGTTCGTCTTCCCGAATGGAATGTGAACGATTCCTGTTTTGTCAACTTTGTACTCTACTTTCCCGCCTTTAAACTCTCCAATTGCCTGAGAACGAACGCATTTCAGGAAGAGAAAGAAACGAACGCGAGGAAGTGTACACACAAACGTACAGTTGGAAGGTCAGTCGTCACAGTCCCTGCCTTGGGATTTGGCATCAGTCCTCGAGGCCCCAGCAGTCTACCAAGCTTTGCAACCTGGAGAACGCAAACATTTCATGCTGAGACACATGATCCATCAAAATATCACCTTTGGCATCATATCTGGAGTAGCCAGCAGCTTGTCGAACTCCATGAAGCCACCAGCGATTTGCTCGATCAATTCCTCTCCTCCTACAACGTCAGCTCCAGCGGTCTTGGCTTCCCCTTGCTTCTCTCCTTCCAGTGCCAGAGAAAACCACACGTTAAGTGCGCAAGTTCGTTTAGAACAAAACCATTACCTTGCGTAAGAACAGCTATTCGGACCTCTTTCCCGGTTCCCTTTGGCAGAGTCACCTGGAAACGAAGCACTTGAAAGAAACCTCTTGGAAGATCCAAAAAGGATGGAATTTAAATAGAGGACTTCCACTCACAGTAGCACGGAGCTGCTGGTCATTGTACTTGGGATCGATGTTAAGTCGGCAGTGAACTTCAGCGGTTTCAACGAATTTGCTCGACGCGGTCTCCTTCATCAATCGGAGAGCGGTCTGTGGATCATACTCCTGCCTCTTGACACGCAGTTTTTGCAGCTCTAGAAATCTCTTCGATCTTCTCTGCAAAGAAAGGACGCAAAGGAAACCACTGTGTCAATCCTCCACCGCAAGCAAAATCCATTCTACAAACCAAAGTAAAGAATCAGCTCACTCTATCGCTCTTGTTGGGCAGCGCAGCCTTCCCCTTCTTGGGCTTGACCGCGGGCGTGGATGCCACTGGCTCCTCCGCCTCTTCCTCATCCTCCACTGAGACCTCCGCCACGGCCACCACCGCCATCACTCTCGCCCTTCCTCTCAATCGCCATGACTGGAGAGAAGAGAATGCCGCTGCCAAGGACGCCGACGAAGACCTCAACCTGGACAATCTGCAAGCCTGGAGCCTGGAAATCCCTCGCGATGGCAATGCCGAGCATTGCGATGACGCTGCGAGATCTAGAAACCCTAGCGTCGCTGCCGTCGCGCACATCCCGTTTCCCCCACTCCCAGAGACCTCTTGTGGTGGATAACGCGAAAAGAGGAATATACCTCCCTTTAGATGTAAATGATAAACCCTAACTAAGCCCTAGAAATTTACAACCGTTAAGCCCTTGCCTTTGGGGTTCTTCGTCGATTAATCTTATCTTCTAGTTTGCTTCTTCCTAGCGCTGGCTTGGGCGGGCGATTCTCCTCCTCCTCCTCCTCCCCCTCCTCCTCCAGCTCCAGTGGCGCTACTCTCGAGCGAAGCTTTCGATTCCGCGAAAGATTTTAACGGAGGATTCCTGGAAAACCAAAGAACAAGGGAGAAATCCACCACGAAAACTAGAAATCCCAGCTCACTTGGTAGCTCTTATCACAAATCCTTCGATCGGCATCGTGCTCTCGTACACCGGATCTGCGCAAGGAAGCGTCAATCGAAGTCACTCGCCTCTTCTCTCGCGTTACCGTTGGCCCCGAGAACCTGGGAGGAGAAGTACTTGTGATGGATCCAGCGCACATAATCCCTCTCGTATTCCCGGTACTTGGCCGCATTGGAGGCCTCGGACGAGGCATCTCTGCGAGATTTCAAAGCGGGAGATCAGCGCGTAGCTGGGATCGAGGATACTCACAGCGCGATCTTGGCCTGCTTGGACGACGTCGTGGCCGTGGGCGAGGCCTCCATCGCCCAGATTTTAGGGTTTCCATGACCCGGCGAGCATATTCGTTGTCACGCCCCGTACAGAAAAGCATATTCTCTGATTATTGTACAAAAGCATATTCCTTGTCACATTCGTACAAAAATGCATATTCCCTGATTTTGATACACTTCCTTGTACGGCAGGGCATGGGTGGATGATGAAGTGGAAATGACCTCTTTCTTTCCACATCGAGAACAAGAAGAAAATCCTAACGAGGATGAGGACGATAGCGATGGCGATGCCCGCGCCCGTCCTCCTCCTCCTCTCTCCGCCTGGATCCTGCGGTTCAAGCCAGTGATCGAAGGTGAGTCTGGTCAGGGAATCACGAGGAGCGGGCGAATGCGTCGATCGCGCTCCTGCTCCTCGGTTCTACTGCCCGAATTCTCGATCAAGCGGCCCCAGCACGAAGAATGCCACGAGCCGCTGGAGGATTGGCTGCTCCACCGGCATTCCATTTCTTCCCCTTCTTTCTCGCAGGAGAAATCCCGTTCCAATTCCAGCAGCCTCTCTCGCAGCCTCGACAGGAGCTCCTTCCTCCTCGCTCCCAATTGCGAGGCTCCACGGCGAATCATTCGAGGGTTCGTCGCCGCCACCGACAGCCAAGAACCGCAAGATTCCCTTTGCGGCTTTCTCAAAGCCAATGCTCCACTGCCATACAGCAGCTATCAAGGATCCAATCCTCGCGACGAACAAGGATTGGATCCAGCAAAAGGATTAGCATCCCTGCTCACCGAATCATCCACAAGTAAGCTCGAAATTCTTCCAAAAAATCGAATTCTTAGCTTCGATTCCTTGCACAGATCGTCACCAAAAACAATCCCAGCAGGTAGGCAAAACTTCCGAGGAGAAAAATCTCATTTTGCCTGGTTTGCTTGCAGCAATCTGGATCAAACCAGGAGAACTTTGTCCATCCGGAGTCTGTTCTAACCCGACCGCTCTACACCAAACGGCAATCCATCCGCAAGGAAGGGTCGTGGATCAACCGATGGTCGGACGAAAACTCGGCCTCGGTCTCTGGCCTCGGCTACGTTCCCAGCGCCGCTGCCATGGCGATCATCAGTAAATCTTACACGAGCTCACTCACAACACCGTCATGGTCTAACTCGATCGAGGCCTGGCAGTCGGACGCCGACTCCAAGGATGCTCGTCGCTGGTAGCAACTAGGAAACTGTAGTAGGCAACTTTTTTTTTTCTTTCAAAGTTCTCAAAGTTCATCTGCATCTGCGAATAACATATTAAAAACCAAGGCAGCGATTTCGAAAATGAAAAAGCCTGCGAGTAGCGTAGCTATGTAGTAACAACTTACTGAATGGTGGTTCTTTAGACAAAATATAATATGCCAGTATGGACAAGGTACAATGGACTGCACAAACAAAAAACAAAGAAATTTTCATGGTCGCTCGTCAGTACTTTTTTTGCCGATATAGAAAACTTTGACAAAGCACCAGACACACCTGATTTCTGCCAGATTTGATTCTCACTGCGCCTCGACTGCATCATTTTCGGAAGCTACAGGAGGAGCTGCCGGATTCTTAGCGGCGTCGGACAACTCCAGCGACGCGGTCTGCGTTCCTTTCAGATCACCGGCATTCGTACTCTCAGGCTCCACTCCTATAAAAATGAATACACGAAAGGAATGAAAACATAGCTGTGAGATAACCAAGGCCCGAGAAACGAGAAGTAACAGTCGCGTACCTTTGTTCGTTGACGCATCTCCAGCATCCTCGGACCCGGGCTGCATCACTACCTCGTTGACTACCTCTTCCTGATCCCTTGGAGCGGCCTCCACCACTTCTTCAGCCTTGGTTCCATCGCTTGGATTGTTTTCCTGCGCTGCAACCTCTGGAAGACCCTCATTTGCGTAATCCTCAATGCCTATCTGCTGCTGCTTGTCATCGACTACAGGAGCTTCCTCCGGCTTCACGTCTTCATTCCACTTGCCAATCTCAAACTTCGCGTCGGATGGAACTCCGTAAAACGATATGTCAGTGTCAGTCTTGTTAGCTTCCTGATCGGCGGATGCCTGTGCCTTTGTCAATGCGTTCCCTTCGTCCGCGGCCTTCTTCACTGCGGCAGCCATATCGACCTGCTGTTGGACACCGCCTTGGCCTAAGTTGACAACCTCGTGAGGACCACCGTCGTCGGTATCCATGGCCGTGACCCCGCCGTGCTCCTCGGATTGAGAAGGAAAGCCGGAGAGGATGTCCGCGAACGGAAACGCGGCGTTGGGATCCGATAAATACGTCGATGGGAAGCCGTGGGTGTCGACAGTCTGGTAGAGAGCGTGGTTGGCTTGGTCTTCTTCCTTGATCCGGGGCTGCTGCTTTTGAAGCATCGACTCACCAGGCTCCTCCTTCGGCTCCACTCCAGAAGGAGAAGCTCCTGGCGACATTCCTTCCTGCTTTCGCCGGACTCCACGAGCAGACCTTGGCGAAGTGATATGCATCTCGTCACCCTGGCTCTCTTCCTTCCCTTTCTCCGAGGGATCCAGCTTCGCCCCAATCAAGCCGCCGACTCTAGGCTCCAGACGAACACCATTCCGCCGTAGCTCAGACCTGGCATGTATCTCTGCTCTAGCAGCCTGTGCCGCGATGTCAAGCGCAGCCTTGGCGGCAAGAGCAGCCTTGGCCGCAGCTTGGGCTTTCGCAAGAGCCGTCGCCTTTGCGTTAGCGGCAGCTCTAGCAGCAGCCTGGGCAGCGTTCTTCGCCGCTTGCAACGCTTCCTGGGCTTGATTAACACTTGGCTTTGGAGGAAGTCCCTGCTTGCTATCCTCTTCCATGGGAGCCTCAGTAGTCGGAGTAGTAGCAGCAGTAGTAGCGCTAGGATTGGCAGCAGCACTAGGATCATCACCCTCGCTCTTGACAGTCCGGGCCTTTTTGTGCGATGGGCTTGCCGGGCTGGTACTCTCCTCGTTCTTGTTCCTACACTCGGGACAAGTATACGCATTTGGGTCGAGAGCCGCGCCAGGAGAGTTCTTCGTCTCGCATTCTACGTGAACCGATCGCTTGCACTGTCCACAGTTGAGCCAGATCTTGGGATCACCCAGAGTCCCCGCGTCCTGGTACGTGACGAGGCAGTAGGGACAGAACATATTCATGCTGTAGAGCATGGTGCAAGTGTTGCACAGCCGCTGGTAAACCCCGCTCTTCTTCACGCGCCGCCAAGCGCTGTTCTCTTTGCTCCCACACCACGAGCAGCTCTCGTCGGATTTTCCCCCCGGCGCACCCGATCCCAGCCCAGGCGCTGCTCCTGCCACTGCCGCCGGGCCTGGAGGAGCTCCCACAGCTCCAGCGCCGCCCTGGTCGACCGCCACGGCCGCGATTCCCCCTTCCGCCATACCTTTGCTCGGATCACTGGCGCCGCGGTTGAGCAGACGCTTGCGAGGAGGCAAACAACCTTCTGGCGCTCCAGCCGTTGCCACTCCCGCGTCGGCGTCCTCCATCACTCACCCTAAAGCCACCATCAGTGAGCTAGGGTTAGGGCTTGGCTCCAAAACCCCAGAAAAGCTCTGGCTCGTCCACGTCAGACCCATTTTCTTGGAGAAGTAACGGTCCCCGGTTCGAGTCCTTTGGAGGGAGGCGCTCTATCCAACAAAGCAATGATGGCATCCCGTGGGACACATGAAGAAATGAGAACGTGGTCGCGCGCGCTTTAAAAGTCCCATTTCAAACACCAACGAGCCAAAATCCCCAGGCCCTAAAGTCCACCACCTTTGACAAACTTCCATGCAAAAAAGCCGCGATCTCTCAAATCCAAAGAATGTGACAACATTGAAGAGAATAAAAATCTCCGATAATTCCAGTTTCCAATCACCCCAAATTTCTGATAAAAGACCCGAGTCTTTGCTCTTTGCAGCAAATGCCCTTTGCGGGCATTTGTTTCAAGCCGGTTTTCTCTCGACTGTAGGAAAAAGTCGCCAGGACAAGTAGATTAAACAAAGCAAACACATCCATCCCGTGCGCTCTTACGTCCGTACTTAGACTTTCAAGCAATCACTCACTCCAGCAGACCAGTAAGTACGGATTAGATTATGGACAGGATAGCTCCCTCACTCATCACTCAACCATTCAAATCCCATTTCGTGTGTGCCAGCCAGAGCTTTCATCCACTGCTGCGGCAAACAACGAACGACCATCCCTGTCGATGCCTCTCCGTTTTGCTTGATCTTATCTCCATCCCCCGTGCCGTGGATCACTCATAGCTAAGTTTTCATGTCGAGTTCTTCATCGTGTTTGGAGTTTTAATCCGGAAACCTGCCAATAGGGGTCGATCCGATCGGATCGGATCACTTGGGTTGGTTGGCATCGCCGGGGGAAACCGACCCACGAACCGAATTCCCACTTTTTAAAGCGCCCACACAGAGATCTTTGAGACACACTCTGTCTTGTCTGCCAAAGAAGCCCTCTTTGGATGCATGACCGATGAACCGATTCCCAGGGGGGGGGCTTGTCCCTTTTTCCGCTTCTCTTTTCTCGCATTCCATTGTCAAAAAGGGGCTCTTTTGTTGCGAGACAATGCAGCGTCTGGGCGGCATTGCAGTGCATGGTACCATGTAAAAGCATTTGCCGGCTCCAGGGTTTTTAAGGGAGGGCCAAGAAAACTAGCAAAGAAAGAGCGCGCTCCCAAAAGAGAGAGAAAAAGAGGAAAAAAAGAAAGCAAATTAAAATAAAGGAAAGAGAGAGCAGCTCTCTCGCCAAATGCCTTGGTAGGCATTTAGCTTGCGAGCGAGCTCTCGGCTATGGATCTGGGCTCTCTAGTCTTCTTCTCCCACCCCTTGTTCTAAATCTACCATACGTTGCTGGCAATGTCTTACTACTCCTCCTCCTCGAGCTTTGGAGCCGCGGATTCGATGGCCAAGATCGCCCAGCAGCAGCTGGAATCACTCCCCGATCCCAGCGATGGCGACCAGGACGACGATTTCGTGGCCGGCCTGGTGGAGCAAATGGCGCACTCGATGCTGGACGAGGAAGAGTGCGGCGGGGACGAAGGATACCCCGCCACTAACGCCGCCGCAACACCGCTGTGGCCGCCGCTCCACGAAACTCAGGTGTGCTAACAGCTTGAACCGCGAGCGAGAGAGAAAAGGAAGGAATGTAGCTTAGATTTGGTGTTGGGTTCTTCTTGTTTGTCTCTTCCTCGCTTGTTTCTTGCTGTTCTTCTCCGTAGCGAGAGATTCTCATCGATTCTTTGGTGGTTTTTTTTTTTCTTTGTAGCGGAGAAGCGGGTGGAGCTCCACGAAATCCAGCCCCAGCCCCGCGGTATCGCCGCCGACGCCGCTCCACCACTTCGGTCACGAATCCGAGCCGCCGCCGCCGCCTCGCGGCAGCGATGCGTGGGAGCTGCTCCATCTGGCGGCGCAGGAAGTGATGCGTCTCAAGATGGGCGGCGGCGGCGGGGGTGGCGGCGGTGGCGGCGGAGAGTTTCCTTGTTCTTCTTCGTGTTCTTTCTCTTCTTGTTCTTCTTCTTCCTCTGCCGGCACTTGCTCCTCGCCGCCATCTTCGTCGAGTTCCTCGTTTTCTCGCGACGAGATCCGAGCTTACAACCGAGCCGCGTCAATGTACCACTCGATCGGCACCGCCAAGAACAGTGGCATCGTCGAGTGCTGTGGAAGCAAGCCTGTTGGTTGTGCGTTTGGGCAGCAGCAACTTGACTGGAAGCAGCAGCAGCAGCAGCGAAGTACTCAGCGCCATTACCAGGTATGATCGAGCTCTTTCGTTGCAAAGTTCGTTTTTTTTTTTTTGTTTTTTTTTCCGTGTTCTTGGGCGTGCTCTGCCAGTTTCTCTGGTGTGTTGAGAATCGTACAGACATTTTGATTTGTTTGATGGATCGTTATCTTTGTTGGTCGCCCAGAGCGCGTGACCCTGTGGATTTGTGGATTCATGCGTGTTTGCTTGTACATCGATCTCCTCGCTTTCACTTTTCTTTGTCAAGTTTAGTGGTGTTTTTGTTAAGTTCGTTCTTGGTTTCTCAGTGCGCGTTCCTTAGATTTAGATTTTATCTCTGTGCTTTCGAGGGCGATGATTAAATGGGATTTGATGCGTTGGTGCTACTTTTGTCAGTGTTGCTTTAGATTGTCTTGGTGTTTGAACTCAAAGTTTAGATTTTTAATGCTTGTTCTTTCTCGTGGTTCTTCGTTCGTTTGGAACTCAAGTTTTTGCGATGATTCCTTGCGCAGAATGCTTTGAATCCAGCAGCTGGGATCGTTCCAGTCGCCTGGAACAGGCGAGCTCGATCACCTCGATCTCTCCAGCAGCAGCAGCAGCAGCAGCAAGCTCGACATATCGCGAGCAGCCGGAACTTGCATCAAACTTCTTCCACTCGATCATCAAACATCCACCACTCGGCGTCATCGCTCTTCTCGTCACAATGGCCAGCGGCATCCAGCGTGAAGTCTCACACCACCGCCACCACCGCCAATGGCGGCACTGGAATGCGAGCCGTGTTCTTGAGAGGCCCCGGATTCGGAAGCAGCACCTCCAACGGGACGGGAGTGTTTCTCCCGCAAGCCACCGCTCCCACTGCCAGCAGCAATCGCGATCCACAAAAACGAAAGCCACGTAAGTGAAGTGATCATCTCTTGATGGTCAAGAAGTTCTCACCGTTTTAAATTGCTCTTCGTTTGATCCATCCATCCAGCTTGCTCCACGGTGCTACTCCCTTCCCGGATAGTCGAAGTTCTCAACCTCAACGTCGATGATCTGGAGTGCCAGCCGCATCCATCGCTTGGTACCACTGGTAAGTTCTCGCAGAGTTCTTCCCAAGTTCTTGGATTGACATAGATTTTGGTGCTGGAACGTCACAGATCACTCGAGCAGCGATGATTACCTGAGCGTCCATCTCTCCAAATCCTACTCGGCGTGCTCTCCAACGCGGTGGCACTCCACTGCGGAGCACGCTCTCCCAACGGAGTGGACTTACTGAGAGCTAGCGAGCTCGAGCTAGCGCATCACAGCCGTCCATCCAGAGGCCATCCTCACCGGAGCCGTCCGATCCCTCGTCATGTGGATAGAAATAAGTACCAGGGTCTCTTCTCACTTTCATACAAACTCTATGATAGCTTGTAAGATTTTTTGAATAAAACATAGTCCTTTGAGTATATTCTCTAGATGGATATTTTTTTAGGGTTCTTGGGAGAAAAGAGCCCTAAAATCAATGGAATATCCGTTAGGGCTAGTTCGCTGTCCGATCACTATCCACGCATCTCTCCGGCCAGGTCTTGGAAGCTAGCGCTGCTATGGATAATCTCGCGGCAGCGCTCTCGATGGACAATCTCGCGGCGGTGCTCGCCAGCGGCGGCACCCAGCCCAACATTCTCGGCCCCGTGGTGCCCCTTCTCAAGATCCTGTGTATGTGCATGGTCGGCCTCCTCCTCACACATCCACGAATCGGCGTCCTCGGCCCGGATTCCTGCAAGCTCCTCAGCAAGCTCGTCTTCGCGCTCTTCCTCCCCTGCCTCATCTTCACGGAGCTGGGCAAATCGGTCACTCCCAAAAACATGCGCGACTGGTGGTTCATCCCCGTCAATGTCCTCGCCAGCTACTTGATCGGCTGCGTCGTCGGCTACCTCGTCGCGATCCTCTGCCGCCCGCCCCCCCGGCTCTTCCGATTCACGGTCGCCATGACAGGGATCGGCAACACCGGCAATCTCCCCCTCTCGATCGTCGGCTCCGTGTGCCATGGCTGGAATCCATTCGGCAAGCAGTGCAAGCGATCCGGGGTGGCCTACGTCTCCTTCGCGCAGTGGGTCGCGGTGATCGTGCTCTACGTCTTCGTCTATCATATGCTGGAGCCGCCGCGGGATTACTACTGCTACATCGATGAGCTGGGTCGCGGCGAGGAGATCATCGATCAAGAGAGTGGTGTCCAGGAAGAGGAAGAAGAGGAGATCCAGGTGGCCCAGATGCCCGATTTCGTGGAGGCCGAGTGGCCGGGCGTCAAGGACGCCGGCACCGAGGAGACGAGGACGCCATTCCTGGATCGGATCTTCCGGCGCGCGTCTTTCAACGAGAGGAGGGATCCGGTGGTGGAGGATCACGAGAGAGTGCGGTGCTTGCGCGAGCCGAGGGTGGTGAGGAAGATGAGGATCTTGGCGGAGAGGACGCCGCTCCAGCACATGCTCCAGCCGCCGACGGTGGCGTCGCTGCTGGCGATCCTGGTGGGATCCGTGCACTACTTGCAATCGGTGGCGTTTGGCGAGGGCGCGCCGCTCGAGTTCTTCACGGATGCGCTCACGATCCTGGGCAATGCGATGGTTCCTTGCGTGCTCTTGGTTCTCGGGGGGATGTTCTCCGGGGGTCCGGCAAAATCGGAGCTGGGGCTGCGCACCACAGTCGGGATTTGCGTCGCACGGCTCGTCGTGCTGCCCGCGATTGGGATTGGAGTGGTGGTGGCTGCCAATCGGGGAGGATTTCTCCCCCAGGGCGATAAGATGTTCCATTTCGTGCTGCTGCTCCAGCACGCCATGCCCAGCTCGATCTTGATGGCGGGATTGAC